CCTTTACCACTTTTAATTTTGTTTCAGGTCAGTCAACTTGATGTGGCCTCGTACTGGCAACATTAGCAATAGAATCTGCACAGTTTCTAGCCGTGATGAAGAAACAACAAGATTAAATCAAGCACAGAAGAAAATGATGCAATCAAAGAGACCTGATAAACAGGAGATGGATGAGTCTGCTGCCAGTACCTAAAAGGCACACTATTAGTTTGCTATAAAAAATAGTTTTACAACACACTCTTTAATATAAGTAGAAAGGGTATACTAAAGTAATGATAAAGTACTGTATAGTAATACATAAAGCAATATTGTTGTGCACTATTAAGGATCGTATATTGTACAATACTGTATGTGCTATTTCTTTATAAAACTGGTAGCACAGTAAGTTTTTTTATACCATCATCACATGAATAAAGTATTGTGCTATGATATCATGCCAGAAATTCTTAGGCAATAGGAATTTTTTAGTGGCATTTTAATCTTCTAGGCCCACTGTTGTATGTGGTCTACTGTTGTCCAAAATGTCATCATGTGGCACGTGACTATATAGATTCCAAAGCACAAATAAGTTTAGCTAGGATCTCCTAAAGTGTGACTGAAAACTTCCTTAAAATCTGAAAAGCAGCATAAGGAAGATAAGTTTAGATGTTTGCAAATACATCATTTTTAAAGATTTGTATTATATACTATATTATATTCTGTAGCTTTGGCTTTCTTTAAAATTAAATAGATTTTATGTTGTTATATTCTGTTTTGCTTATACCCCACTCTCTTTTGAGTTTCAGTTGATACAGGATGTTCTAGGTCCTGGGGCTGAGGTGGGTCTAATATGCTAATTGAGAATATAATTAAATGCACTTTAATGTTATCTTCTAACAGCTGACCTTCCAAACTATAACTTTGGAACTCAGATTAAAATAACAGTAAGCAATCTATACGTGAGGGCTTGAAAACCTTTCCAAAGCATATATCATTTAGTTTTAAGGATGAAATTCTGTAGCTTTAAATTTAGCTTACTAAAATAGAGCTTGATTTTTATTCCATATGCAATAAAAGGTTTTGTTAAGTTACATGAAACATCCACAGGATGGCATTTTAATATACATTAAATATTTTTCTATATAAAGTTTCTGTTCTTATAATGGTCTTGAAATTACATATAATTGTTAAAATTATTAAACTAATTACCAGTTGCTAAAAGTAAACACAAGTTAAAAATTTTCTAAAAGAAAAAGAAAAACCTGGAATTTTAAACATGGAAATATTATTAACTAATAAGCAACTTTACAAGTTAAAATACTTACTAGTTATTGCTGTGCCTATGTAATACATTTCAGTCAAACAGTCTACTATTTGTTTGAGATTCCTTACACAGCCAACAGCTAATGCTACAAGTAGTTCAAAACCAGAACCGATGGTAGCTGGTGAACTACAGACTGGAATAGCTTGGTCAGCTGGCAGTTCTCCATTTCTCATACACTGCAGATAAACTTTGGAGGCAGGAAAGATGAAATCATCAATTAATTCCTAAAAGTTAAAAAACAAACAATAAACAATAACACACATTTTAGGAAAATATATCCCTTGGAAGGATTTTTATAATTATTAGACAGAATTAAACAACTCTTTACATCTCAAAAACAATTTTGAATTTTCAAATAATATAAATACAAGTCTACCTCAAAACACTTGACTATACTAAACATACTCAGTTTTTCAGGTTTTTTAAGGTATTAAAAAAAGCTGAGTACAATTTAAGAAAAAATGTATTGTAGATAAACCAACTAACTCCCTAATCAAATGTGAACTGAAATATCTATTTAAAAATAAAATGCATTAAAATGATACTTTTAAAGAAAGTGACACTTTCCTGCATTGTAAGACACACCTGAAAAAATTCATTGAACATGTAAAATGTAAAAGATGAATTCTTGCATGATATGTTTTCCTTGTTTTAAAGACTGATCAAGTGGAAACTCAGATTTACTTAATAGTAAAATCATTAATGCCGCTTATTAACTTTCTAAAACATTATATCTGAACTTTGACTTCTAATTAATTTAAAAATCTCTTGATGAAAGAGATACACTAAGAAATACTGTAAATCTCACAAAGATAGTTTTCATAATACAAACAAAGAAAAAAGACCAAGATGATGTCTCAAAGACAAGATACTATGCAGCTCAAACAGATAGATCAGCTAACATTTTAAGAGTCAGAATTAGTTCAGTATCAACACTTAGAACTTACTTTAATGAGATTAGCACCTCCTTTTTCACAACCAACATGATACTTTTTCTCAGATGTTTGAAAGGCTAATAACTCTTTGGTTATCCCAAGGTGGCCTTCTAAAATAGGCTCTTCAACACCTGTTTCACCAGTGTTTTTAACATTATCCTGCCAAAGTAAAAATATGATAGGCCTAACTTAAGAAAGGAGGACAAAAGAGCTGGAGGGGAGTGATACTTCAGATATAATATCCCCAAACCTTTTTATTCAGATAGTTCTGCTTTATGCTATAAAGCTTTAAACAGTAAGTGTGAGCAATTTCGTTTAAAGAGGACATTGACAACATCTGGAGATATTTTGTTTTTCACAACAAGGAAGAAAGGGGAATTACTAAGAACCACTTACTGATTTCAGGCCGAGCTGCTGCTCAACATTCTACAATGCACAGCAAAGCTCTTCAAAACAAGAAATCATGTGGTCCAAAATGTCTATGGTGCAAAGGTTGAAAAATCCTATTCAAAAATTAGGCTTTATAAAACACTAGGAGAATGCTAATCTGAAGGCCGGAAGCTATACATTTCAGAAATATATTTTCACAGAACTCTCTATATAAAAGGTATTGGATGGGTAATATAAATGCTAATCTATCAGATTCTTTTGATTTAAAAAATTTTCAAGAACTTTTAATAGAATGATAATTTGTAAAAAGGTCAAAAATACCAAAAGTGAACACCAGCACTCTACATTCCAACTAAAGTAAGACATTTATATAAAACTAGTTGTACCTTCTAAGAATCATAGTTATTAACTGATCATTTAATAGTATTTTGTTCACTTTTATTATTCCTAGGGTTAATATACTCAAAATTATAAATCCTCTTAATAATCCTCTTTTAATTTAAGTGATGTAATAAACTGAATATTATACAACGTACCCGAATCCTTTTGAGCCAATCTATTTCATTGTTGAGAAGAACTTCAGCATTAGGTACATTGATATTAGTGCTGTAAGCATAATTAAGAAGATGTCGCAGAAGAGTGAAATAGTCACCTGAATGTTTACCTCTCTCCCCTGCTGTATTCTGAAATATAATTGAAACAATATGAATTCACAGGTTCATTCTCAGAATTCATTTTAATTTTTTTAAAACCTAGAGAACTGATAAATCAAGTGGCAATACCCTTATATCAATGACATAAAACAGTAAGTTCTTTGATTTCTATTTTTCCAAGGTTATATAGTTTTTCCGTAAGTATTTATAAAAAGCAAATGAAAAAGTCTATAAATAGTACAGAAAATAATAAAAATGATTATGACTAATGTAATTTTAATAAAAACTACCGAAAACTGTGATTTCCTCAATGTTCATTTTCAAAATGAAGCATATTGATAAATCCATTAAAAATAACTTACCCCTAAAATGGTAAAGAGCAGAGTAATGAAGAAAAGCAGAGATCTGTTTCCCATGCAACATCTGGTGCACATTAAAAAAAACTGCTCCTGTGCCAACTGACGAACAGTTCTGTAAAAAAACATTTTATACATAATGTATTACTTTCATGAATAAAAACAATAACGAATTATTCCAACATTGGTTTATCTTTAATAGGGAGATAAATTAATGATAGTAAAAATAAAAGCAATCAATAGCCACACAATATAGATAAACTTAAGCTATTTTTCAGGGAGTTAAACCTCAATGGTATTAAATAGGATGAGAGTTACTGGATTAGTGTTTCTCATTATTTGAGTCCTCAGAGTCTTTTAACATGTGCTGTTAATCAGGCTTAGACCATGTAGAGGGCAAGAATAATACATGGAGAAAAAAATATTTTTATTTGCAGGATATCTTTTAAAACCTCTTTGGAACAATTTGAAAATATTCCTACAGATACCAGACTAGGTGCCACGTAGTAAGCTCTGTAGACCTTTTATGGCCTCCAAAAGAATTGTTTTCAATGAACTGTCCTTTAAAGCAAACAACTAACGGAAATCCAATATAGACAAAGCTATTCCTCATATAAGAGTAGTTCTAAAAATACAGTTGTCAGATCTGCAGCACTGGCATTACCCAAGAATATGGGAACTTCCTCGAAATACAAATTCTTGGGCCACCCTATACTTACTGATTCAGGAAGTCAGGAAGAGAGCCCAGCAATGTACATTTTAATAAGCAATCCTAATGATCTAATATATATATATACCAAGGTTTAAAGACCAAGCATTATTCTGTATATCATCTATTTGAGAAACTTGGGAAAAACCTGTCTCTTAGTACCAGAAACTTCACTGATTTATCTGTATCTTTAAATGTTGTACATTGTATTGTTTTTCCTAAAAATACAGTTGACCTTTCAACAACATTGGTTTGAACGTCACAGGCCTACTTACACAGAGTTGTTTTCAATAAATATGTACAGTACAGTAAACGTTTTCTTGTTCTTTTCTTTTCTTTAACTTTACTATAATACAATATAAAATACATATACCACACAAAATATGTTAATTGTTTGAGTTATTAATAAGGCTGTCAGTCAACAGTACGATATTATTATTAGGTATTCCATGACTAGAACCTACAACATAGTGGTGGCTCAATAGTTCTGCTAGTAAACATTACTTGTTTACAAGCTGGACGTCTGTATGTATCTCCTATTGAAAAATAAAAAATTAATAGTTCTTACAAATTTAGGAAAAGACTGACCGTTCCACAGCTATGGTAAAACAACACCAAAATCAACTTTAAATTTATTTTTATCATTTATGAAATCCTTTATTAAATAAATTAAGCTGACTTTCACTGTTTGAAGAGCTTTTGAAAAAAAAAAAAAAAAATGCAAGCAGCGCTTGCTCAAAAAAGTTAAACAAGAACAGACTCCCCAAAACTGACCTTTTTCACCTAAGTAACCTGAATCTACAAATGTCAACCCACTTACACCTGTCCAAATCTGCCAATACCTGAATTTCACGCAGTGTGCTTTGGTCAGAGAATGTGCCTAATTGACACAGCTCTCCTTTACTATGGTAAGCGATAAATTCAATTGTCTTTTTGATTTCAGGTATTGGATAGTGATCTCATTAATCTTTGTCAAAAAGCTCTCTCAGGCTTTGCTGATAAGAGGGCTCCTAGCACCAAGAACAGAACTATGTTTCTGTCTTCTTACTAGATGCTAAATCTCTAGAAGAAATGTGTGGTTTGTATCTAAAAAATTTTAAGTTCTATGTATTAAAGTCCCTCTTGGCTTTACCTTTACCATGTTAATTTTACTCCAATGATGTCTTTTCATTTTGTAATTATTACATATTAATTTTCTTATATACTTATTTCTTACCTTTTTTGAACAAAAAATGAGTAAGTTAAACTCACAATGGCCACTTTATAAATTCCTTTTAAATATTTTCTCAAATAGTAAAAATTTAGCTGCTATTCCTACTCAAAAACTTAAGATAAAAAATTCTGCAACCCCAAGAATAATCCTAGAGAAATATTTTTTTGATTTCCTGCAGGAAAATCATTAGCAACTTTTGTGTCATTAAGAGAAATTTCAGATTCAGAGAAACAAAATTAAAGAGCATGAATGATGAGTAAGCTAACATATATGGCCTTCCATTTACAATGCAAATTAGTTCTTTAAATCCCAAAGAGCCAGGTTTCCTGCTCATCTCCCTTCATTACCCTAGAAATGGAAGCTAATGTTTTACATAAGTATAAATGAGGAACAAAGGATGAAGACAAGAAATAATATATGGGTCAGTTTCAGTAAACCATAGATTACTGATGTGAGTTCAAGTCACTTAAATTTGACGAATGTAAATCAAACTTTCAAGGCTTTTTAATGTCCCTCATTTACAAAAATCACAGTTAGGGTTAAAAAAACATTCAAAATAGCACCTTAGAAGTTCCACATGTACACCTTTCTTCACATGGTCTAATAAATTCTAACAAATTCTCAAAGATGTCTCAAAGTGTACTGCTCCAGCTCATTAGAAAAAAATAGTATACAGACCAAACATCTGACACTTGTCATTTCCTGTTAAGAATATAACTTGAAATGTTAAGTCAAATCTATATCACACGTATACTCAAAACCTTGCAATGTCTTTCAGTCTCACTTAAGTCTGGGGGGTGGGAAGATAAAGAAGCATTTCTGTGATTTCAGAGAGTTAGGAGCATTTATTTTTGGCCTTGAACCACTTGAGGTGAGAAATAACCTTCCCAACCTAAGCTCCTGCTGTGAACCACTGACTTAAAAAGTAAAACTTGAATGAACTATAAAACCCTACATTATCAGACACATTTTTTATGTTTCTTACCTCAACTCTAGAACTGTGCTGCTTATTCAGCTGCTGTAACAGTGACCTCCTGGCTGTCAAGACTTGTGCCTGTAAATCTTACATATGCTGCACTTTCTATATATCTACATTCCTTTACTCTTTCTTTCACGTTATTTACTTAAGACTCAGAGTAAACTATTTCCTAAACTGTTACAAATTTTACATGGAATCGATAGAACAAAAAACCCACAATACCACCACCAAAACAAAAACCTAATATCTGGAAAGTAAAGTTAGAAAGCTGTTCTATTTATCAAAACTTTAATCAGATTTTAAATGATCTAAAACATAAACTTCTCAAACAGAAATGAATTCTGAAAAAGAAAGCCATTAGTGCTCAAAAAATGATAGCAAAACTGCAGAGGTGCCAGTTCCAAGGTCATGTTACTCCAAAGCAGCATTAAAATCCAAACTGATACTATTGTACGGCAATTACAATTGAAAAATAACAAACTTCCTTGAATTATATAATGTAAACATGAGCAACTAATAGTCTATTATATTTCAATAAAGCCAGAAAAAAGTCTAATTAAAAATGACTTCTGAAAATTGTTTAAAAAAAAAAAAACCTGTTAGAATCTTGGAAAACAATGGTTTACCAAGCAAACACCCAATTAAGAAATGGCAGGCGTCTGCATTTGCCACTGCTGGGACAATAAGCAAAACAAAGATGACCTTCATCTATAGATTGCAGTATGCTACTAGAGACTGTACAATTTAATCTAATGACCTACTGAAGAAAATGTAACACAGCAGCTATAACCTGACTGGACTGCCATCAAGTACAAATTAACCATGCAATAAATAAGTATCAAGGTGTGGAAGTAAATCAGTTTGGTAGGTTGACTTCACTGCCTGGAAACTTTCATTTCTATAGAACTTTTAATAACAGAAGTACAGGATGCTTCTTGAGTATCAAAAGAAGGAAAATTTCGATGATTATCTGAAAACGTACTGCACTGAATAACTTTTTCAAGAGAGCAACTGATAAATAAAAGAAATTGCAGTAGTTCCTACTCTTTCACTAGTGTCCTATAAAGTGGTTTTCTTTAAGAAACATCAAGTTTCTACACTTCTCTACTGTTTCAAGCTGCTTCCGTTACTCTTCATTAATAATTCTTAAACAACTGCAGAAACTATCTGTGATCATTATAGAGGAATGAGGAAATGGTGGCATACACTTTCTCCTAACAAAAAAGGAACTAGTTAAAGAAAGTGTAAAGAAGAATAAATGGAAGATATTCTATGGTTTGAGTAGTTTTAGATTGCTCTGTATAATGATCTGGAAGTATTTTAATCACTGGAAGGAGCAAGCTACTATTATTGGGGAAAACTTTTCACTCTTTTATCAGAACTGGAATATGACGCATGTATGCAAAAATTTAAAGATTATATGCTGAGAAGATGTCTGAAACCTGACCACTAAAGAAGTGGTCATTAAATTATTCATTTAATGAATAATCTATCATTTAGTTGAATGCAATAAAGATATTCCAGTTGATTTCTAACAACTGCGTTATTAATGCTGTTGAGTCCCCAGATAAATGCCTTTGTGCTTCCAAATGGACACAGGTTTATATTCACTGGGCTTCTAAATAATGCAATTGATACTCATTAACTTTACTTCCTTCTAAGCCATGAAGTAGCATATGCAGTACATCGACACACTGCAGAAAAGGCCAAGTTGGTTCATTTATTGTATTTCTTAAGTCTGATTTTTCTCACAATGTTTGGCCATTTGTCCTCGACACAATTTGGCACTTTAGGGCCAGTGGATACAGTCTAATTTACAGGATTTTATGTTTAAGAGACCATACATAACACTGGAGGCTGAAGCTGAAAAAAACTGACAATGGGTTGTGGGCAAAGGCTTGTATGATTATCAGATCCAGTTCAGTGTTTTGGCAGCAGACAGAATTAACAGATGGCTTCCATGGTTCTCTCAAATTACCAGAACAGTGATCCATATATCCATCTCATGGAACTTGAAACTGAACACTTAGATAGACATACTTCAGGCTCTAAAAATTAGAGACCTGCAATTGCCCATCACTTTCCGGACCACATACTCAATTACTGTTCAAACTCAGCATGAAGTATTTTCTTAAAAAAATCAAAGAAAGAAGACCTAAATAACAGTGTTAAGAAATGAAGTGAATACTTGCCTCATTTAAAAAAAAAAGCAGG